TGCCAACACAGAACCCCATCCTGGCCTACTGTTTGATTTTGAAACTAGGTATTTTTCTGATTAATTTCACAAAACTGAAAGTCACGTCCATGACTGTCCACTGTTTCCTCATACCAGCAAAGCATCTTTTATCCTTTCCTTCAGAGTCTTTTTTTAAGAACATAACCCTTTTTATTTATTTTTAATTTTTATTATTAGTTATATTTTATTAACTCTGTATCCCAGCTGTATCCCACTCCCTCATTCCCTCCCAAACCCTCCCTCCCTCCCTCATCTCCTCCCTGCCCCTTTCCAAGTCCACTGATTGGGGAGGACCTCCTCCCCTTTCATCTGACCCTGTTTGATCAGATATATTCAGGTCTGGCTGCAAAGTCCTCCTCTGTGGCCTAGCAGGACTGTTCCTCCCTTGGGGGGTGAGGAGGTCAATGGCAGGCTCCTTCAGATTCTTGATTTGCCTTCTCTTTTCAAGACACCCTTTTTTCTGTTTCGAAAAACATGTGTGTTTGTTTTTGTTGTTTGGGCTTATAATTGAATGTCTACTACTAAGTTGAAATTTTTTATTAATAAAGTATAACATTATTCTCTAACAGAGTATAATATAATAGAATTATAATGTATTATAGTATAATACAACAATATTATACTGTTATCAAGCTGAAGGCCACTGCATGTGGAAAGTTGATAAAAACATATTCAAAATTCTGTGCATCACCTATAACCAAGGGCTAACTTTCTTGGCCAAGATAAACTCTGAACAAATCATCAAGTAGTTAGAAAAATAGATCCATAGTTTTCTTCTGTTAAGTAGAATTTTAGATAAACAATTCCATTCCTAGTCAAGCCTCCACCCAACTACTTCATGGAAAACTATTTCTATTTCACATTTCTAAGCATATCTCCTACTCTGTTCTGGGATACTATGAATTGGTCAAATATTTTTTCCTATTTTTATAAATGTAGAAACAGAAACAGGTGGATATTCATTCAGTTCAAGTCATTAATTGAAATCTGTCACTGACAAGAACTGTGTCTGGAGATACAGAGACTATAACAGTTGATGAAGACTCAGAGTGTTCCTTAAATCTAATATCTCAAAACAATAAAAAAAATGTATCTGTGAAAGTAGAATGAAGTAAGCAAGTCAAATTCCAATAGGACCTCAGAAAAGGAATAGACTGACTCAAATAAGGAGAACAAAGACTGCCTTTATAAAGGTGCTAGAATCAAGGAGGATATTTGATGATAAGTGAAAGAAATGAGGAGGAGGAGGACTCCAAGCAGAGGAGGTATCATAAGCAAATGCAACAATATGAGATGAATCTACACTCCAGCTGTTTGCTGATCTCTCGTGATACATCTGTTGTATGGTTCTTCAATATTTGCTGGGTTTCCTACAAGAATATAGGATGTGTTTTGTCCTAATCACTTGGTTACCATAGTACCTAGGACAGGTTCAACTTGTTTCTGCTTAGTAGATATCATTGTACTTATAGTATATTAAGATATCCTTGGTGTGATTTCCAAATATTAATGTATTTAACTTGTTAAATCACCATAATCAATAGGATTCATGCATCTAGCTAGCATCCTTTTGACATTGACAAAATGAGAAAAAGAGGATTTTCAGTCTTTCTTATCCTTTCATTGCTGAACTCTTGGACTGGGTTTGCTCAACAGTATCTTGGGTAGTTCCAGCTTTTCCTGAATGTGTTGATTATGGTAGGGTTGATGAGATAATACATTTCTTGACTGAAAATTCCTATAGATGTTCAGGGATTACACAATCCACAAGAGAATTCCATCAAGTTTCCTTTAAATCAGAGAATTACCTTATGTCTTCATCATTATGCTCTCAAGTCCCTTCCACTGTCTGGTATGCATTATGGTCATGTATTTTTCTAAGAAAATGGTATAGAGACTGAAAGGGTTCAAAGAGTCCATAACCCATAAAACTAAAACCAATAAAAAAAAAAAAGCATTATGAAGTGCCTAGACCTTAAAGGCTAAAAGATGTCACTTGCAGTTCATAAAACCTTTAATGAAGCCTGATACCCTAAGTAATTTCAGAAACAAAATTATCTATCTGATGCACCTTGCTTTTGTACAATTTAGAAATTTTCCCCTTTCATAGTATGTACTAGATACCCAACTCCATAATTACGTTGTTGGAGGTTATCTACTTTAAGACTTAAATTTTCTAGTCTAAGAAATTACTCAGCCCTCATAATGTTGCTTGCCTTTTTTTAGTCTAATCCCACTGTCTACTCAGTTTCCTAGCTAGGGCATGTCTCATTTCAGCTTGGGGTTGGAGATATGTCTGAATTATGTAATGCCCTCATTGTGAGGTCCCTGAGTCACCTGAGCCCCAGACAGAAGAAGTGACTCAAATGAATGTCCTCTTCACTGGAGCCGTACTGTAGACTGGAAATAGAATACAGGCTTTCCCGCCTAATCCCAGAGAGAGCAATGGCATGAAATCCAATTTTTCCTCTGCACAAAAACAGTTAACAAATGACCTTCAGTTTATCCTAAAATAAAACTTAGGAAAAATAGAACAAGCAGTGTCAGAGGGTCTATCATATGCTATGAAGCTGCTTGAAATCCTACCAACAAAATATAAGTTCCATAAAGGCAGGGATTTTTTTTCTGCCTAGAAACTGAAACAATATTCATGAATACAGAATGAATATGTTAAATGGTAAGCTGGAAAAATAAATTAAGGAGGGCTGAAGAGCTGGCTTAGTGATTACGAGCACTGACTTCTCTTTCAGAAAACCCAGGTTTTAGTCCCAACATACACAAGGTGGCTCACAATCACTCCAATACCAGAGGATCCAATTCCCTCTTCTACTGGCCTCTGCTACTGGCACCAGGTATACATAGGGTACACAAAGATGCAGAAAAATATCCATGGACAATTTTTAGGAGCTTTATACAAATTGAACCAAAAACAAAAAGATGAACTTGCCAAGGAAAGGTTATAAGAACAAGAAGTTGCTTCAAGGGCCAGCCAAATGGCTCATCGGATAAAGGCACTTACTGCCAGGGCACACAGGATCACACACACACCACAAATAAATAGGAAGAAGAAGAAGAAGAAGAAGAAGAAGAAGAAGAAGAAGAAGAAGA